CCTGTGTTGGAATCCAGATGATGAAACTTAATGAGTAAAACCAACTACTAATGAATTGCTTGGGGTCGGTCAGCTCTCAAGGCCGTTGCTTTTTTTTTTTTTTTTTTTAATTTTAAAGTTAGTCGCATTGCAATCTTGGACAACATATATTTTTTTAAGAATTATTTTATTTTATTTTTTTTGGGAATTTTGGGGCCTCATTGAAGTTACCACAAATTTACTGAATATAACGCCCGACGTTATAAACGAATATTACTGTCAGCCATGATTGCCCTGAAGAGATGGGGCTACCTTCTCATTCCATTCTCACGTCAATACTCCTAGCGCATACTATCCTACCTCAGTGTGACCAGCACTCAGGACCATTACCCTACCATCGAGGGGAACTTGGACCGAAGTGACAGGCACCAGGGCAGCCTGGTGGAAGCATAGTCGAACGAACCTTGTCGCACGGGAACTTCGGACGCCAGGTTCAAGCAATCACCTATTAGCCCCTAAGTAGACCGACTAGTAACTCGTGCCCTCTCTTATCATCGAGACTCCTATTATTAGTTGGTCGTGACCTCCTCCCAGCCCTATGGTTATGTGTGTGTGAATGTCTGGTATTGTAGGTATGTGTTCGCAGGCTATGTGTATGTGTTTTTTTGTAATGTGCGTGGACCCGTAGCAGACGCTGCTCCCCACCATGGAGCATCTGCGAAGTGAAAACCAATGAGAGGTGCTCTTATCACCTCTACCAGTGTCTGTGTAAGCCATGTGTAGGTAGTATGTATAGGAGCCCTAGAAACACCTTGCCTCGACGCAGCGGAGGGGCGACCCTATGCGCCCTTAATCTGTTGCCAACGAATAGACAACCCTCCTCCAGAACCCCGATCATCGGCTGAGGCTCCTCCCCCCCCAAAGGACCCCATGCCTACGTGCTCTATCCTCAATAGAGACTATCTCCCACCTATCAGCAGAATCCGGTCATCGACTAGGTACTTCTTATAGGGATCAAAGGGACAGATTACAGACTTAGTAGATGGTGGGCCATCATCCGTCCTTCCACTAGCCCCCAGCCTCATCCCTCCGATAGCCTATCGTGGTTATACCTGTTCGCAGCCCGTCAGGGGTGCGTTTTATGCCCCTGGGAACATTTTTCGTCGTCGTTCGTTGTACGGTCGTTGGAAGGCTGGAAAAACAAGGCATGGCAGTTTAGGGGGTCGTGGCATCTTATTTGAAACTGCATGACCGGTAGCTGCCCGTGGGACCGCACGGGTTTGGTCCAGGACCGCGTAGGACCGGTAGCTGCGCATAGGAGGCCGAGGAGGCCGCAATCCTTTTTCGAAATGGAAACGGTGCGGATCCACTTTTCTCGAATAGCAGAGTTCCTCGAATAGGAAACGCACACGTTGTATTCGAATACAACCTGTACCCTTTCTACTCGGATTTCGAAAAGGAAAAACTCTTGTATTCCGATAAAATTGCTTCTTTTTGTTGGAGGTCAGCGCCTGCCCTTGTGCTCCCCGCCACTGACATGCTGCATGCTGCAGGTCTCTCTCTTTCTCTCTCTCTCTCTCTGTCTCTCTCTCTCTCTCTCACACACACACACACACACACA